TCACAAGCTTACTCGGGTGGGACTCGAACCCACGACCTCCTGTTTACTAGTGCAGATGTCTTAACCACTCGTCACAGTTGGCTGGAAAAGGAATGCAATACACTTTCTGGCGAGTTCCAAGTTTTTCTCCTTGGGGGGGTGAGAGACTACAGCTAGACAACCGGGTGGAAGGGAATGACGTTGCTTGTGCCCATTTTTGTACACAAGTGTTCTGCCTGCCGAGCTTTCTGTTTTTGCCTGGCCTCCCATTTTCCGTTCAGTGGCGGACGCACTGCCACCCCTGAGCGATCGACCGGGGGCCGGACCGCTACATTTGTATATGTCTTTTAACGTATGCATCGTGTTTTAACGAGAATCGTACATGAGACTGAGACTTGAGTGGTAAGTTGTTACAAAGATCCAGAATGAAGATCGCACTGGCTCTTTTTGAAATTTCCACAGTTCTTGAGTATAAACGCAAGTCGTGAGCTCTTAAGCCAGTATTCATTATGGCTGAATCCTTTGTTGGCTTTTGAAGAGGCTTCGGAAGCTCATTGAATATTTAAAAATGCAAAGAATATTAATGTAGTAATTCAAATGTGGACTTGAATTTCCTAATTGGGAAGTGGGGTAACAGTTCCACAGATTGATTGTCCAAACTTAAAATTCAGCTGATTTTGCTTTCAAATTGTTACTACATCAGGGTTTGCATCCACACACGAAACGGTGGCCTATATGTCTACACTTACTGCAAGTTTTGCTTTAAGTTTTGATGTGGCGAGTTGTATAATGTATAAGAAGCAACACATTTCCAAATACATACGAAATGTAGCATAGTGCAATAAACACGTGTCACTTTCAAAATGGCGACTGGTTTCAGGACCACTTTTAAGGACCCATGAAGAGAACAGAAGAAAGGTAGCAATAGGCCTAGCTGTCTCTGATTTTGCTATCCCCAAATCTCCCATTGAGAAAGTGCGTGTTTATTTGATCATACCACAGTCTATGAGATCCTGCTCTATTATCAAAGCCATAATCAGTTATCTAATAATAACAACCTTTGTTCCCGAGCCAACATAGGGTCGGGCAATTGACGCATACGCACATTGATGGTATCCTTCGCTAGGCCTTGCTGTGGGCCTACCCTGCTACTTGCTTCCCTATTCTCACACTGCTGAAGGTAAGCGACATGTCCGATCTGTATGTTTTCAATCCTCTCAACTCGGAAATGCTGAGGAATTCTCATGATGCGACTGCCACCCATAAATGAAACCATGTACCGGGCTGACTGGGTACCCTTGGCCCCACAGCCATACGTGCTGTAAAAAAAAGAAGGTGGAAGTGTGCCATTTGGGGGGATACGTGCACTTTTGTCCAGTTTGAGAACTTGACACCATTACCTTCTTAACACGAAGGGAAGCATTGGCTACTGAGCGTCACGTTTTCACCGCCCCTCGATCCTTACTGAGAAATAACAACATATTTACTTACGTGTTGTTACATATTTCAGTGGACAGAAGAATTGTAAATGTCAAATGTGCAAAGGTCGTGCTCCCAGTGCACACTCGTCCAGTGTGCATGGTTTTACTGAACCGCTCTTTTCGGCAATACGCTGGTGCAGGTCACGCCGTAAGTCGCGCCCGAATTATTCTGCTACTGCTGGCGCAGCTGGAAAACGGTTTTTGTAGGTGACCTCAAAAATATTGCATGCTATATAGTTGAATATTGCACCTCGGACTCATTGTAAATGATGTTTGGAGAGAAAGAAATATCAAACGCCTTACAGTCAAAAGCCTTATCCTTGCTTTATCATGGTGTTTTTTTAAGGGTTTTGGTGCTGATTTTATAAATAAACAAAAAATCCGTGGGGTGGGCAAACTGCCTAATTTTGTATGAGAATTCATATAAGCAAAAGTAATTTGTTCTTTTTCCAGCCAACTCCCAAAACTCAAAATGGCTTTCTTGTCGAGTAATACCCGCATTGGACGGCCAGCGACCCCTTCGCCTGGTAACGTGCTAGACGGCGGCTGGACAATAGTCATTGCTGTGGCTTCATTCCTGGTCTTGTTCCTGATCTCAACCATGACAAGGTGTACAGGAATCCTGTTCGTCAGCTGGCAGATTGTATTTGATTCGACAGCTCTGCAAACTGGAGTTATCTCCAGCATAATATCTTCAACCTCGTTCTTTGGATGTAAAGATATCTTCCTTGTTATAACACGAACCCGTCACAAATCAGGGTGTTTCTTTAGAAAATTATTAGGAGAATGAACGCTGTGACCCTGTACCTCTTAGCATCTCCAAAAGGACACAGAATGGTAGTTTGAATATACGGTTTTACCATCCTTGCTGCCTTCTTGCGCCTTGTAGTTTTATCATTAATTTTTGGTTGAAAATCCTGTACCGAGACATGTGCATCATATAATGGTGGTGTGTTTTCCCGCAGCCGCGCTATCGGGCGTAGTCTGCAACCGATACGGGTACCGCTTCACCTGCATCCTGGGCGGGTTCCTGATGTCGTTTGCCATGCTCATGGTCTTTTGGGCGTCGAAGCTGATTCACATGTACAGCTTGGGAGTGTTCATAGGTTAGGCTTGTTTCAATTATAGACGTGAATAAGTGGGCCTTTTCAAGTCTTTTATATAAAGATATTAGGAAAGACCATGAAGTGTTCGTATGACTACATTATTTATTTCCATGAGGCCAACACAGTTTAAATACGGCAAATGGATGAAATGAAATTCAGAGGAAACATTATGCCCAATGACTTTCAAACAGGAAATTCACTGTCAAAAAAACTTACTAGAAACAGAAACTTGTCAGCTCAAAATCAAATAAAAGTTCAGAATATGCCTACGACACCGACATCATAAACCAACAAACTGGTCATACTGACCAATTGGTATACCATTCCACTACTGGTTTTCTTTTGATATTTTTTAACAAACTAAACTGCAGGTTTGGGAACATCTCTCTGTTACATGGCTGCAACATTTGTTGTCGCAGACTACTTCCAGACTCACTACGCCATTGTCAGTGGTTTTTACACTGCTGGTGTCAGCACAAGTATGGTCGTGTCTCCGCCTCTGTTTCACCATCTGCTCGATGCGTACGGGTGGAGAGGAACTGTGCTCATCGCGGCTGCCATGTGCGCAAACTTGTGTGTTGTAGGAGCGCTATACCGTCCCCTACGTAGTAGGCTAGCAAGGTTAAGATCGATGAATTTAGACACAGATGAACAAAACAGTGTCAACCTTCAATCGGATGACATTTCAGTTGAAGGTATGACTGCTTTGCAAGAAGAACGTGACGTCACCGGCGCAGAACGCATCTCGGTGCTGGCCTGTAAGTGGTGTGTGTTATCCGTCTTTCGAATTGAACTGCTGTATAGGAGCTACCGCTTTGCTCTACTTTGCCTAAACTGTCTAGAGCTCCAAATGATCTACTCGTGTGTTGCAATTTTCCTTGTACCCAGGGCTCAGTTCTGTGGTGTAAATGAGCTCCAGGCGTCGTTTTTGCTCAGCATATTTGGGTTTGGGAGTTTGGGCGGTCGGGTAGCAAGTGGCTTCTTCGTGACCCGTAAGACGCCCGTTGAGGCAGTCTACACATCTTGTTTTGTGCTGTGCTGCGTCGGTTTGCTGTGTTGTCAAGCCGAGACTTATGAATCATTTGCAGCTTCTGCCTGCATCGTTGGTATAGGGATAGGAGCTGTGGAACCATTGCACAACGTGATACTCCGGAATCTTCTGGGTCAGCCTCGAGTTGCGTCTGGACAGGCAATAAATCTGATATTTGGAGGCGTGGGAGATCTTATTGGTCCAGTAGTTGCCGGTAAGAGCAACAATGAATAGATTCTTTGTTAATGCTGGACCATTGCGAGGCACACAGGGAAAATTCTCGAATTTTTGTGACTTAATAGGCCTAAATCGTTGATCAGCTTGCCTTGTCCTCTTCTCCACAACATGCTGAATTAAATGTGCACCATGCCTCGTATCGAATCACATGGGAATCAACGCAAAACAGCGCCATCTGGAGGCTCAAGTAATTCACTAGTTTGACTTAGTAAATCGTTGTAATGAATTAGTAATTCGTTAAAACGAATTAGTGTCAGGCAGAAAATGTATAGTTCATTGGCACGATTGGGCTTCGTATGTCTGGCATAAACTCTCTCCCCAAAGGCTCTCAAAAACGTGACATAGAAACACCAGTCAGTCTGCAGCAATCACAAAAGCAGCTTGGTTTCTTTGCTACGTATGCGTGTTTCTGTGTGCATGACCAACTCGTGCATATTTAATGAGGAGGGCGTTAAGATTTCGACTTATAAACGTACCTACTAAGTGCATTTCATAATCGTAATTTAATTGTAATTTACGTGTCTATGAAGTGAATTTCGATCATACAGAGCATGGTGTTCGAAACGTTGAGTACCACTGGTTCTTTTCAGAACCGCTTAAACAAGAGACATATCCATGGTGCTACCGCAAACCTATCCAGTTCAAAGAATGAAGAAAGAATGAGTTTACCAGACATTCTTAAGAACAACGGCCCTTTTCTGAAAAGGGTTTAAGTGACGTCTCAAGGTTGCTTTAATTTTCGAACAGCCATCACTACACGCAGATTGTCTAGTCTGTGCGTGCTTTCAAACGTTCAATTTTCAGTGTCTTCCTCTATTTAATGTTGTATCATTGGATACACCTTTCTTCTCCAAAATGAGGTCTGACCACTCAACATCATTTAGATACTCAACTGTAAAATCAGGCAAAAGACCTTTTTCTGAAGTAATATAAATAGGGAACAAAATAGAAATCACCTAAATAATTAGAACCTAGCATTTGGCAAATCATTTTCCAAAATATTTAAAACACAGCCTTTACAAAATAAGAAAAGGTGTAAGCCTCGTCGTTTCTGCTATGAGGCTCGAACGGTACCAAGAGGGGGTGCAATATTCCTAACAACAGAGACTCATTTGGTGAAATGGTACCGGTACTTTGTTCACACGGACGGATAATGTTGCCGGTTAGTACAAACGATCCTGAAATGCCCGCGTCACGGCTGGGTCGCTACCCACAGAATGAACACTCCCCGTCAACATGGCTCTTTCCAATCGTTGAGGGGGTGCTTCTGCTTGAGGTGGTACAGGACGTGCCTTGGGTTCAACTTCTCTTGATGTAGTTCGGCCAGGGCTCAGACTGATGTCAGTCAATGTCAGTACGTAACAATACTACCCAAAATTGCATATCCCCATTTACTAAAACACGAGGGGGTTGATACTTTGGTGTTTTTTAAGGCTTCCGCTGAAAGTTGAAGTTAAACTGATGGCAGCTTGCGAACAAACCACCCCGTCCTCAGCACAGATTCTATTTGGAGTGACATCATATTTGTGACCTGTCACCACAAAATGAGCCAAAAGTCGGAATTTTCAAAAATTGAGATATTGGTAGTTTTGAATTAAGCAGAAAAGAGCTTTCCAGTGGTATGCACATGGAACACTTAGGTTAAAAGTAAAAGGTGACCATGTGACATCGCTCTGGCAGCTTTGCGTTTTTGTTCCCGACATTGTTTCAACATCCCCGATCAGGCACAAATAATGCTATCGCCAAAATTGCTTAGAAAATGACACTTTTAAATTTATGATCCTGCAAAATATTTGGAATGAAATGGGAGATGGGTTACTCTTTTCAAATGTTTACAAAACCCAAAGACTGACCTCTCCTCACTATGACTTTGAACCCACAAAACAGGAAAGAACAGGGTGCGACTTTACACTCATTTTGTCATGACAGGTCACATTTGAGCATTTGAGCAACACAGAAGTTGATTCGTGATAAAAAAAGGACAAATCAGATTTCTCCCCACTCACTTGGACGTATTAGTAATAGGCCTACCCTGCTAATTGAAAACTTTATTTCTGTAATTATCGTAATTCTGCTTGCAGATTAAAACCACAATTCAAACCTGTTAATTTATAATACTTCAGATCCTCTATAGTTCGACTGAATTTTTTTTTGGGGGGGGGGAGCAATGTACGGCGCTCTGTGAGTGCCATCCGACTTGTTCAGATACTGAGATAATTTATCTTTGTAAGTCGACTTATAAAGCGTATTAATTGTAGTCGATTTAACGAGATAAATTAAGTTGACTTCCTAGGTATCGTACGTTGACATCGCGAGATATTTTATGACATCAAGCCTTCCCCCAGAGTTCCCTATATCGACTTGGCGAGATAATTTATGTTATTAAGTCGACTTCTTAATTCAAGTAAGTTGACTTGGCGAGATAATTTATGTCATCAAGTCTACTTCCAGAACTCGGTATGTCGTCTCGGAGAGATAATTTTGTTGTCAAATCTACTTCCAGATTTTGCTTGTGTCAAGTTGGCGAGAGTAAGTTAAATACTCAAGTCGAATTCCTAATTCTAGTAAGTCGGCTTGGCGATACAATTCATGTCATCAAGTCTACTTTCAGAATTCACTATGTCGACTCGTCGAAATTAATTTTGCTGTCAAGTCGATTTCCAAATTCTAGCAAGTCGACTTGGTGAGAAAATACGCTGCAGGTCACGTTCACTTGTGAGTAGTCAGTTCACGTCTGCATGTTGTGCACTTGATGACATGGATTATCTCGCCAAGTTGATTTATTAGAATTATGAAGTCACCTTTCAACATAATTTATATCGCCAAGCCCACACAGTGAATTTTAGAAGCAGATTTAATGACATAAATTATTATAGAATTAGGAAGTCGACTCACTGACATAGATTATCTTTTCAAGTCGACCTACCAGAATTAGGAAGTTGGATTTACTACATAAATTTTCTTGCCAAGTCGTCTTCCCACAATTGTAAAGTCGACTTGACAACATAAATTATCTCGCCGAGTTGACATCGCAAATTCCAACTGAAGCAGTCTTGTTGACAGAAGTTGTCTCGCTAAGTCATCTCACCAAATAAGAGAGTCGACTTAGGCCTAACTTCATAAATAATCTCGCCAAGTCCACATAGGGAATTCTGAAAGTAGACTTGATGTCATGAAAATATCTCCCAAGTCTACTTACTATAATTTGGAAGTCGACTTGACTGCATCATTTATCTCGTTAAATCGACTAAATACACTTTATAAGTCGACTTAAAAAGAAAAATTATCTCGGTATCTGAACAAGTCGGATGACACTTCCAGAGCTCCGCAGCAATGACATGCCGATCGATCTAACAGGTATCTCATAGTATCATGGCGGTACATGACCTTCGAGTGACCTAATGGCTAAGCAGTGCAAACTAACTTGTACCACATTGAGGGGTATCAAAGACAGTTTTCTTTTGGCGACTATACGTTGTTACTTGTAGATACTAAAATCCGGTAACTTAAGTAAGAAAGAACAAGCCTTTAGGCCAAAAAAGTCTCCGGTTTCTGGTCAGCGCACGTGTCGCCGTAGAGCTGCGCGTCAGCAAAATGAGAAAGTTTTTCATTTGGTCTAATGCGATTTCAAGAAGCTGCCAAACATTCTTGATTGACTGGAATCATGCTACTGTGTAATTTAACGTGTTTTATATGGGGTATAGTAGAGTAACATTTACAGTAAAGGAGCCCCTCTAGGCCCCCATACATTAAGTTGGGCACTCTTTTTCAGTTGACGTCGTGTCTATATTATGCATTTACATCTGGGAACCAGACAATCGATGTGGTCTTACCTGCAAGCTGAAAATGCTTTTAAACAGTAAGTAGAGAGGGGTCCAGTCTATATCAGTTGCATCATTTCTAGAGGAAACCGGTAGGGGGGAAACGGGTCGCTGCACCACTTTGTGAGCCACTTCCTTACCAGAAACCGAGGAGTTTTTTGGCCTCAAGTTACCTAAACATCATGCAGTACCGGTATATTGTTCAGTCAAAATCACCGCAACAACAACAATACTGCCAACAGAAATTGAAACTATACCCCTTGCTTTATCTTTGAGACAAAAGAGGTTATTTAGAGCCGGCTGTATTGACGATATTCTAGTGACTCCAATATTATGTTGTTGTTTTTTTAGAAACTGCAAGGCTTAATCTTCGAAAGCGAACCGTGCACCGTTGCCGTCAAAAGACGGCTCGGATTTCACCGGATTTCAAGAAATCAACAGTGATCTCGCTCAGACCATGACTAAACTGGCAGCAGTGGCCAACCGTATTGATAGTGGTCCATGCTCGAGTTCAATCAGAATAACGTAGTCCTACAACCAGTGGGTGTGACTTAAGCTTTCAACGTTTTACCCTCGTGGGTGTTTTTTGGTTGGTTGTTCTTACTTCAAAAAGTGGCCAAGTGAAAGTCCCTCAGCAGCTCAGTTGATTGGTCCTACCTACAGCTATCGATGGAATCTCCCGAATGACCTTTTGAGCTTTCGACAAAAAACGGCAAAGGCATTGTTTGACTACAGGGCTTCGTTTTAAGCTGTTCTTTTGTTCGGTGTTTTTGAACTTGTCGTATCCAGTAAAAGTGCGAGAAATATGGTAGCTCTGTGTACTTCTGATGCATTCTAGTCACCTCAAGCGAGAACATAAACAACTATTTGGGGTCAGGTCTCACGCACATTGCCGCAATGCTATGTACAGGCATTCATCTTTTTGTTGAGTTTATAGCTGGGGTCGCATATATCGGGGGAGTACAGATTTCGGTCAAACTACTCGTCTGAACCGCACTGGACACCGAATGATTTGTAAAAACTGACAAGTTCCCTTGGCCATCGTAGTCCACGCCCGCGTCTCCCATTGGTCCCTCCAACAGTTTGTTTTCCTTGCAGAGCTATAGATTCTGGAGAACATCTGGCAGTACATGTATTTTAAAAATCTGAAATTAACCCATCCTCGTAAAAAGCAATAAAAATGTTCTCGACAATGCGCCGAACATATCACACGTTTAAAAGACAGGGTTTTCCTTGTAAGATGTACCGTTCGCAAATAATTTTAGTGTGATGACACCGTAGTTTAAAATGTGATGCTTTATGCGGAAATGAATCTTTGCTTCTTTGCGTGATTAGACGAAAACAGCGCAGATTAATACTCACTCGGCAAAAGTTGGAAATACTTCTAATCTTGAACTACAAGTTGTAACTGCTAAATCATTTCGAAGAGTCACGTGAGACAACAGGTCCATTTTACAGACTGTTGATAGTTGGGTAAAGAACAAATCAGGGAAACCTGTATAATTATAAACAAATAACATCAAACAGGAAACGTCACTTTCTTTCAGCCTTGAATCTATAGTTTTATTTTCTATTTTTTTCTACGTTAAACTTCATTCCCCTCAAGAAGGCAGAAAATACCCACAATCAAAACAAACGTCCATATACTGAAAACGTCTTCAACTTTGGCACACGTGATTGAGCAGTTTTGAACCCAGCTTTTCCATTAAAAAAATAGTCTAATGAATAGGCTGTATTATGCCAAAGCACGGTGTAATGAGCTCTGGAACATCGGTGTCTTCTAACTTGACAAATTCTGACGTTAGATCTTGAAATGCTGATTCCCCCACATTATACCCAGCATTTTAAAGAGGCAAGTTAGAGTCAAACACCGTCAACCCATTTATCCATTATTTTTGTTTGAAAACCATTTAGAGCCCCAACCAAAAACTGAACCCCACTTTGATCTTCAGAGAAATATCCATCAACTGAAGGTCAGATCTCCAACAAGCGTTGGAAATTTCCGTCTTGCAAGCAGTGGCTGGATTTGTTTCGAATGAATCATTTCAAAACCGGCCTCACAAACTTTTGTGCATTTGGAAAACTTAGATCCAATTGGACTTGGATTTAGTCGATTAAGTCAGTGCAATAATTTTCAATTGCATAGATTTGCATATTTAGAAATAATGTCACACCAGGTAGCTTATACGCAGAATGATCTTATACTAATACGACATCATTATCCAAAGACGTATTCATATGCAAGTTTATCAATGAAACAGCCGCTTAATGTCATTGCAACAGCCTAAACTTGAAAATATTTATAATTAAAATGAAATGACAAAAACTAACACGAAAGCTTGACAATAAAAGTGACACCGAAGAAGAATGGAGACATTTGTGTATGGAAATAGCAATGAATTGACCTTTAAATGGCAAAATTGCAAGTGAATCAGGCACGATGCATTTTTAATGATTACATGGAAAGAATCTAATTGCGTACACCCTCTAAGAGCAACTTTAGTCATTTTCAAGGTATTGTCACAAAATTCTTGGACGCATTAAAATTCTAAGCAACAGTTATTAGCATGTTCCTGAAGCATTAAAATATTCAACAGAAATTGTTCCAGATGCCATTGGTCATGTTCAGTTCCAGGAATGGGTTCCAAAGATCTAGAATCAAAACAGAGAGCATGTATTTAGCAAGCCGCTACAGGTATGTCGTTATATAGATTCGCAAAAAAATGAACCGTCGTGAAAAAAAAGCAATTACCAGACGGGTAAACCGCCTGAAAAGTTTTGTCTTTCAAATTCCGCCTTTTATTACCTTCCGGATTGTCGCATTCTCTGCTTATCCTTTATTCGGAACGCAGTGGCCAGTGCCTGAATTGTTCTGCTCATAACAGTGTTGTCCTTCTGGACAACTTAAAAAGACACAGCTCGTTCTCTCTGCAAGGACATAATAAATACACAGTTTGGTTTCACGAAGCATTTCACGATTCACCTATCTTAGTTTCGACGGGTAGAAAGCCACTACCCTAACTGAAATGATTTTTGAGAAACTTCGAATGGGTTGAGCGCGTTGTTCCATATCAAAGCATTACCAAGTCACTAAGCTATTGTATAGCTCTTAATGTTGGACCAAAGTAGAACTGTTTTGGCGATTACGGTCAATCACATGCAATAAACAACACATCTTTGATCACTTTCAGGTAACAAAATGTTGTCAGTGCAAAGAATCTTGTCTTGTCGCTATATATGTGATTTTGAAATGAAAACTGTATGATTGATAACTATACGAAAACGGCAAGCTTCAAATTTGACCTACTGGTAGTTGTTCAAGTTCTTCATCACCTGCCTGTAAAAGTGACGATTTACACGAAGAGGCCATCAGTATTTTATCACTCTGTTCTCAGTTTCTTGTTTTGATACTACATTTCAGTCCAACCGACTTTATATGTATTTGCTAAATCGTTGTCTTCCAAAAATCATGAGTTCGAAAAGGTATAAGTTAGCACACAAGAAGAGGGATGAAACAGGAATGCCCACGGGTGCGATTATTTTAACGTCGGAACTATAAATGTAATTTTTGTCTAGCTATAAGCATTATTGTCTATGTTTTTAAACGTTACCGACCCCCTTTCGATCTTTTCATAAGGTACTTCTTCCTCAGGGCTATTGTGGCACAAATATCGATCATACCTAAACGAATATTTGAAAATCGAAGCATGGACAGTTTTTGCAACGACAAGACGTGGAAACGGAGAGAAACGAACACCAAACAAAGTAAAGAACAAATATTGAAAAGCAGATGATTATATTGTTCATACTTTTCATTTCATCCATTCTATCGATGAGCTTAGCTAGGAGCCACCTCAGGGCGAGATCATCTGTATAAAGAACCAAGAAAGAGGTAAAGAACCTTCGACGCCCCTATAAACGGATACAATGATTTATTTTCAATTTCTAACGGCCAAACCACAATTTCAGCAACAAATTCTCGACATAAATTCTTAAGATAAATACTCTATACTTGAAAAATATAATCAAAGGGTTGGAAACAGTGAGCTTGGTTTTTAGGGTAGTAGGCCTATGTGACCTTTTGTTTTCAAAACAAGTTTTAGCATAAAACTGAACAAGTTGGAAACACTGGCTTACCTTCTTAAGTAGCAAAAACATAAAGTAAGTACCCCAAGATTGCCTAACAGCTGAAACCTTATGCGTCAACAATAATACAGTTTGCCTGCAATCACATCGATTAATTTACCTTTTTCTGCAGCTTTTTCATATGGAACGGGATCATCCTCGTTTCGCTGAAACAACTCTGTAAGAAAAACAAAAGAACATCAAATATTTCTGCAGAATTCATAAGCAGATCTAATTTTCAAGAAACAAACAGTACAAGTACCCATTGCACCAGAAGATTTTTGAAATCTTTGATGGTCTGTCATGCTTCTTAATGTAATTTATGAACGGTTGACTCTGTCCCCATACATGTTACTGATACGGTATTTGGCAAGTTCTTGAAATGCAAAAGTCCTTGAATGCAGAGATGAAAACATGGGAAAATGGTGTGTGACCTTTTGTTTCCAAATATGTATATCGATATACGAGTCAACACGATTGCAGCGCTGTATACTGATCATTGAACCAAACACTATATTAAATTATAGTATACCTCGTTGAAGTTTTTGAAATTTTAGATCTTCATTTTTCCCATCGTAATCTTTCATACTAGTAACTTAATTTGTCCCTGACTATGCTGATATGATATCTTGCAAGTTCTGTAAATATAAAATCCTTGAAGGCGGAGATGGTAAATATAAAACGTATACCTGTGTGTGACATTTTCGTACAAAACATATAATTTGAAAACAGAGGCTTTTGTTTCAGTATTACCTTCCTCATACGTAGCACAAACACAACCCAGGCATACCAAGAAAGCCAGAAAGACCAAACTCTTCATTTTCCTACGGAATAAAACGAGGCATTAACTTTGCGAGACTGATTGTGCATGTAGATCAGAGTACCAGACACGTGACTTTAAGTATGCACACATTATATACCTGGCATCGAGACGAGCTTATTACTGTATAGGCTACTTCTACACGACAAGCGTAATTGTCCAATGGACTGACAACTGTGTAGATAGCTTGCCTTTTGAGGCAACCTGAGTTCACTTCACATATATCAACAAAAGGAGAATTGCTCTGTAGGCCCTACCATTTTTACAATTTTCCGTCTGCTAAGGAACGATTGTTGTTTAGGGCTCGTGTTTCCAAGCTTGTCAGGTCTCAACCATAGACCTGTATTAGACCGCGTTCAAACTACATCTGCGAAATCTGTAACTGTGTGCCAATTCAGTCCTCGGGATAGGGAATTTACGTACAGTTCCATGAGGCTCTCTTCGATAATTAAATCAAAAACCAACACGTAATTAATCTACCGAAAACCCAATTGTGACAGTGAAATAAGTATGCGTAAACTAATTCTTTATTAAGGATTGCTAACTGTATGCAGCTGAGATTGCGGCTTGTTTATCGGGATTTACATAATTTAGCCGTAGACACTGGTTTTACACAGGGTATTAGTTACGTTGGGAACGTTGGTCGTATTCGTGTTCGAAATAACGAGTAACGGGTAAAAGGGTGAACTTTATCCCCCTGGAGTTAAAGTTTGTCACTGCCACAACAGGCTTTGCAACTAAAGGGCATTGGTCAAAACACCTTCACGCAGTGTAATTGTCTGGGCACCGCGCGCTGATATCAGAAAGAATCCCACATGGTAGTCCATCATTTGCAGCTATCTAAAAAGCAACTGACAAAATTATTGGTGAAAAGCATAGTGGTTAACCCGTAAAGCTATGTTAAAATTAAATAACTAGAGTGCTAACTTTTCATTCTCCGCGCCGAGAAAATTTGACGACAGAACATTTGAAATCAGTTAGCATGGAATCGGGTTATGTACTTAGCTTCACGCTTCTTGTGCCAGGTCACGTGTTAAGGGATAGAGGAAAGATACATTTTATGGCTGTATACTTCATGTTCATTTTGCGCGTCCACGACAGAGCACAAACATGGCCCAAATACGGGCAATTCACCTTAGAATTTGCAACGCGTTGGCCAATCATAACGCGCGAAATCTGTCGGCCTTTCCAAACGCGCATTGGGTCGACGGATTTCGCGGATTGTGATAGGCCAACATGTTGAAAACTCTTGGAGCCACACTTTTGTGAATCGTCCGTATTATTGCACAGTGATTGGGCGCCAATGCATTGGCGTTGCCATTCTCGTTTTTGTATTCCATATGCTACACTGCAAAAATTGGGGTGTTAAATTCAACATCCGCGGTGTTATCAGAAGACTACACCAACACTTTTCACTGGTGTTAAAAATTTTGGTGTTATTTGGTGTTACTTGTAACACCTTCTAGTGCACTGTAACACTTATAGGTATAAAGTAACATCATCAGTGTTAAAGTAACACCCTATGGTGTGGTCATCTGATAACACCCAAAAGTGTCGATTTTAACACCCAAGATTTACAGTGTACAGTGCGTACTACGCACATGCGTTTATGTTGTTTTGCGCAGAGCAAATGAAACGCTCATTTACTAATTGTGCGCTTAGGTTTTTTATGTATTGGCTTTGTTGACGCATCTTTTTAGAATAAAGACGCCGATATGCAAGTAGCCGTGCAAACGCCGTATAAAATTTGGAGTTTCTGTTACATGTTTGTGCGCAGGCATCACTCTGTACATGAGTCAGCGCTCTAGTTTATATTAACCCAAAAAGAGCCCAGTTTTTTGGGGCCATCTCACACAGCCGGGGGCGAATTCAACCTCCACCCCCCCCCGGAACTCGGCTGTGCCGCGCTCAACTTTCTTTAAAAATTGGCGTGCGTGCATGTAAAGGTTACTAAGCCAAAACATAAAAACAGAAACCCTTCAAGGGACTTTTTTGCATGAATATTAAGGACAGAAAAGATATTAATTGGCGTCACCAACGCCGACAAATACAAATTTTTTGTAATAAAACAAAAAGACGTAAGTAAAGTAACCATAGTAGTCCGATCTGTTCAAAAAGCATTGAAAGTAACATGATTCGGGGAAGACAAAGATTTACATATTAGCTCATTAATTAATAGGATCCAGAGAATATATTACAGGCTTTTTGGGAATCTTCAATTGTGAAACTATCACGATAAACATTTGCAAAGCTTTAGGAACCGAAACACTTCAACATTTTGGGAACATACCATGCTTTGATAATTGGAGACTTTGCCTTGTCTTGTTATGTTTACTCTCGGATAAATAGGCTAGGCCCTACATTTGTACGGTCAGGCTGAGTTCTCACAGACGCTAGCTTCAAACCAAGTTTTCACCAAACGAGAATATTTTTTTAACTCTAAAATGTAATGCTGGCATATTTCACTTCTGTTTTAGAGTTTTCTAATCACTTCACTTGATGGTTTATATAAAGTACATTGGAACTACAATGACGAATTATAACTGAGTAAGAAGGGAGACTCACCTCAGCGTTTTATCTGAAAGTTGGAAAATAACACTTCTACTGTCTACGAACGTGTGGCGCGTGAAAACCTTCAACGTCGACTGCCTACACTGTAATGTGCGAAGCAACTGTAAGAAGAAAGTTACAGACCCTCCCAAATCACTGGACTCTGAACTGCAGGTCATTTAAATAACAATTGGCGAACTCCTACACTCATTTTGCCGGGGGTTAAAAAGTCCATTTGATCCACTGAATTGTTCGCTCTCGCTTACAGCTGGGTTTGAGAGCACGTACCGTACCGATTATTGTCAGTAAAATTCGTACCAAGCCGGAATACGACTAACCTTTGTCTGTCAATCGTCAAATTAACACAATGGCAGCCTATTCTTGGCGGCAAAAAATGGTTGAATTGTAAAAAAGCTGATCAAGAAGTCAGGATAGGAGGATGAAATGCACGCAGCTTTGTCGAAGCTCTTTGTTCTATAGCAATCGTGTAAAAGCAACCCAATAGGTTTTCACTGTTCATAGTACGCATATACCTTATCATTAAACCTGGTCATAGCTTGGTGGAAAACCGAAAGAAATTCCATTCAGTTCTTGTGATTGGGGCTGTACGAAAAAGACAAAATGCAGATTCCAAAGAGAAAGGGATCTGGTTCTTCAGATTTCCCAAGTGCAAAAAGCAGCCAAACGAATGGGTACAGTACATGGTACATTGAACATCAGTACGTGTTTACAAATGCACAGGTTGGCTCCAAGAACATTAATGATAATACACTGTACTTATGATGGAAGGGGGCCATACTAAGAAACGGCGATCCTGTGCACATAGGTAAAATCACGATTATGAAGTCTTTTTACAGAGCACTAAAAATCCTGCTTAGATTAGAAACTAATAGCAAAAACGATGTACTGGGATTTTCTGAAGAAAAAGTAAACAAAGCCAGAAAACCTGAGAGAAAACGATCATCAAAGTCAAACCCCTGTACCTTTTCAATTGCTTGCTCACACTTCTTGCCGCCAAGGCCATTTGTGCGCATGCGTGCATAATTATTGATTTATTAGTAAAAAGGTCTGTTGTCTTTGTAGGGAGGACAGGGTATGGTGGCCCTGGAGGGACATCTCGCGAATCATCAATATTGACATCAATATATGCGACCAAATTTACGAGCCACTCTTCGATCGCAAATATTGACGCCAATCACGACTAAACGACTTGTTCTTTGGTTGCGAATATTGCCGTTAATATTTACGACTAAAATTCAAGACTTGCTCTCTAGTCGCGAATATTGACGCCAATATTGACGACCAAATTTACGACTAGTTGTATCTCCGATCGCAAATATTGCCACGACTTTTTTTCCACTAAGTCAGGTAGGGAGAAAAGTTACTCAGACACAGCGGTTCCTTTGTAACGTTTTGCCCCCTGCGTTGTGCCAAAACTGCCCTACAAAATAATGACTTGAGATCAAACCAATAAATGTAGGTCATTGCGTGTGTGCGTGAACATTTCATTTCCGCCTAGCTTGCTGGAAGAAAATTCGCGGCAATATTTGCGGTTGGAGATACAACCAGTCGTGAATCTGGTTGCAAGTATTGACGTCAATATTCGCGACCAAAGAACGAGTCGTGAATTTGATGATTGGTGATGTCCCTCCAGGGCCACCATACTGAAGAATCAGTTCAGTGTAGCCAAGTAAAGTGGACGGTCGCTGGCTACTTCTTTATCAGCTCTTTCTCAATGACTTTCGTGGTCGATTGCCAGCTCTGCTACCAACTGTCTACATGCGCTGCCAAGCAACCCACACGTTACCCAATTCGAAGAGAGTTAGGACTGTGAAAAAAAAGTGGGCACAGAATTTATTCTATCACAAAATTAAACGTGCAAAAGTATTAATATTCGATGAACTGCTTGTAATGTCACTTTGTTTAAGTCAACATGTTTATAAGTCCCCCAACAGCTAGGGTTCTAGGATGTACGGCTGTTTTAGAGCTAATAGTTTTTAAGATGTTAGTGTGTATTGGATCTTCGTTTTTCAGAAAATTATGATAAAAAGAAACATGAACACCACTTCGGCCAAGCCCCCCCCCCCTGGGGCGTGTGCTGCAACTATTCACACGCAAAAAAGACAAATTGCTTAGAATTTCTAATTTGGGGAATATTTCAGCTCATTCATAGCTGTTCTAGCTAAACACAAAATGCGAGGCTCCATTGCAAGAGTTTTCATTAAGTTTAAAGAAAAGAATAGTTGTTTGTTCCAACAATTCCAACTCAAAAGGGCGCCGTCAGTGTGACGACAAACGAAACACTGTCTGCAATAATCCTATCAACATAAAAAGTGATTTTTATATTTACGTTTTGCCTGTATGTGAAAGACATGTACAAACGAGGACCAGGAACATGTAAATACCAATGTATATTTAGGGCCGACTGAAAATACGCTCGTATGTTTGCGCATACCTCGTGACATAAATTCTAAATCTGTGAACATTTGTATTCAGTAGAAAAATCTGGTTGATTTTTCGGTAGTCAGTTGCATGGAGTTAAGATTCTTTTAATATGTGGACACAAATACTTGCATGCACCCCTAAACAAAACCTGACTTGTTCTATGGCATTCTATGGCATTGAACCAAAACCAAAGAAGGCTGTGGAGCTCATGAATCTTCCCACTGCGTGGGATTAGGCCTACGGAATGCGGTCAACATGACGAAAAGTCAGCCATTTGTGAAAAAACGTGTACCCAAGTTTCCTAAGGCAACAAAAGGGTATGGTGCCCCTTTTTCGGAACACTGCGTCGCCACTTCATGCTAGACACGCATACCAGAGCACGAATTGTCAACAAAATAGCTCACAATAGGTGAAATACATCATGTCCTTCACGAACGCGCATACATTTTGATCAGGAATATTTCAGAGTTTTAGATTTTCTCAGATCTTTGTCGAATGACGTCAGATACAATCTCTTCAGCGACTGGCTGCAGTTTGCTGTTAATGGTAGTTACAACCATTCATTGAAACTAGTCTAAACTTCTCCCGACGTTTGTCGGATAGTAAGCCGTATCGCGTCTGGTGTTAGCCTTAAGTCAAGGCGCGCGTGGCCTCCAAGATTAATTATAGTACATTGGTAATAAACCAGTGCGAGTGGCAAGCCACGAGCGCCTTTACAATCTCGTGGAGAAGGCTTACGTTTTTCTAAACATTTCTCTAGCTATTTGGTAGAGAAATTTAATGCATTACATGTTATGAATTTTGGCTCAATAACCATCCTTTTAAACTAGACGTCAGACGAGCTCACGAGGAAAGCGCAGGGGAACGGTGATTTCTTTCATTGGACCATTACAGTCTGGCTCCCTACCCAAAGATTCCCTGACGACTCTTGATTATCTTAGGTCAGTCATCATCCACAGATAAATAGATATGACGCGTGGGTCAGGGGTCACAAGTTTCTCAACTTGTGACCCCTGACCCACGCGTCATATCTATTTATCTGTGGATGATGACTGACCTAAGATAATCAAGAGTCGTCACTCGTGTGTTTTTTTATTTCAATAGAGTGGTGCACCCTATTTGTGTGGGGCATTTGTCAGCCGTCGTCAGGTCCTGATTTCGGCCAATACGACCCCTGATTCAGTGTAAAGTCAAATATTGTAGGATCAACAGCTGTCGGTAGGATACGGGAGTTTACATTCAACAGCTTGCCTACCGTTCCCGGCTGGGAATAACTGAACATCAACGGTACCATACGAACATGCCGAATATAGACGGGACAACTTCGGAATATTTTGGCTATTTCCGGAAAACTGAAGGGATTCCTCCAGCCTTGGTTACGGGACATTGGGTGATGCCGGACCTTTGATACGTAGAATAGTCAGAATCATCGGGTCTGGTATACAAACTAGGATCATTACAGGGATCATTAGGCCAACACTTCCGCCCGCGCTCGGAATGATGAAAACCAGCCGTCACGGCTGTGCATGCACGTGCGCAGGTGGTAGTCAATTTTTAGAAGTCCAAGCCAAGTCACGAGTCATTTAGTCTAGTCACAAGCCATTTGATCACAGGCCAAGTGTAAGTCAAGTCACAGGTCAATTTGGTCCAAACACACACAAGTCACAACTCTTTTGTCCAAGTACACAAGTCGAGGCGCGCTTTATCTAGCTAGGCGCGCTTTATCTAGCTATGATAAGTAAAGGGGGCCGAGCATCAACTTAACAGGCGCGGTAGCGTTTGAACTTTCGCTACTGCTGTTTTACTTCTGTAAATACCATTCCCAAACCGTATACACCACAAGAAGTATTGGCTGGTAACATGATTTGTCAAGCAAGCTTTTCACGCTTCAACAACTTTTCGCTTAAGCAACGCTATGAAATTGGCCCCAGTCTAATGGGTGTTACGGGGTGATCATCGATCCAGTGTGCCACACAGCGTGCCTTGACTACAGGCCATAGTCTGGTGAAGGTAGTTTGCCAGCACCGTCGCTCTCAACATCGCGTACGGTAACGTACCCATGATCTTTGGAGATCAAAGAAAACTAAAGAAACACATCTTATTTAATTTAAAAGAAGGTACAGGTTTAATTGATAAAATACAGGAAGTTTATAAAACTGCAAGAATTCACCAAAAGGAAAACAGGGTATCAATACACAAATTTGGAGACGGAAGTCGTTACCAAATACCAGTTTCAGTGGCCAGAAAGTGAACATGCCAATCATAACAAACAAGCAAAAGCTAACAACAATGTTAATATAATGAAAATATCTCCAAAGGCCGTGTTTATACAAACACTGATCCTTAGATACACGATTTGTGACGCTTTATATGGAAACTATATTTCACAACCCAAAATGTACTTCTGTGAACTTTCTGTATACCGAGGGAACTGTTGCTGTGATGCTCTTGTTGCTCGTCGCCCAGCACCCACACAGGCAACATTTTGTGAAGGAGATATGTTGTGCGTCTACAGCGATAGACGCGCAAAGCATTATGGGTTACTTGCTGTCGTAATCGACGCAGGTATTGGTAGTGCGCACGTGTCACGTGCACACGGAAAGCTTGACCCTTGTTAATATTTAAATGAACTCTGTCCAATGAGTGTTCGGCTACACATGCGGCGTGATTTGTCCTTTCCGGTGCAATATGTGCGGATGATGAGCGACGAGCGAATGATGTTCCTCTAGAAAGACACTGTTTTGCGCTTATTCCAAAATTTGGATGTTTCTGCTAGAAACTTTTTTTTGTGATGCTGTTATTTGCTCATTAAAAAGTGAATATCTACAGAAAAGATAAATGGTGGCAACTTATCCAAACATTATTTGGCACGTTTAGTGCTGCAATACATATGCCCGTTACACCTTGAAGATGAATGTAGAAATTATTATTACCAAAATGGTTCACTTGGGAGACATTCCCATAGGAACGTGCACATAATTTTTCAAATTTTAACGTCCCATAATTCAATATTCCCTAATCCGATCTTAACCAAACTTTGCATGTTTTGCTTTCAGACCGTAATCTATCATCTCTCAAAATGTGGACGATACAAAATTTCCTCCTTTTGGTAGTTGGAGCATTAGGGAGACATTGAAATGTCTCCCTAATGACCGATGTCTCCCTAATGTTGAAAAATTTACCACAAAATGTCTCCCAAGTGACCTATTTGGAAATATTTGTACATAACAACCAGAACGGCACCGAAGCAGCCTTCAAATAGTGAAATTGAAAATGAACTAGACACGAAGGAAAACTTGACAAGTATTACAAAACATTTTCTTCATTGCGTAGATCCCCTCAAAGCAAAATTTCATGTGTTCGTTACAGTCATTAATACTGACCTAATTTCTAAAGTAAGTTTTTCCTAAAACCAGGTGAACAGAAATTGAATTTATCGCCACCTGTCACGTTCAACTCGAGGTATGGGGTCCAAACATCTGTAGAATCAAAACGAAAACAATTAGCTGAGCACGTATATGGTAAAACGACACCGTCTACACTATTAGGCCTGGAAGTTATTGCATAAA